TTTTTTTTTTTTTTTTCAAAGATTATCCACAACTAAAACAAATAGATTGGCCTAGATTATGTAATGGTTTCCCATGTAACCATTGAATAACATGGACACAAGACAGACCTAGATATAGATATATAAAGACTTGTGAATCATGCACAGTTCTGATACATGTATTTGGCATCATAGTACAGTGATCTCATCTTTCAGGAACTCTACTGTTACTCAAAGTGATTAAATGGGGCCACACTACCTCTTTCAATTCTATATAATATAGCCCATCTTCTCAATTTTCTCTTCGCCTTCTACCAACAACTTCTACCTGACTCAAGCACAATGCAATCCAGTGAGGTTAGTGGAATTCATTATCTACTTCCTTCAAACCCAACTCAGCACATGGCAGGATATCAGTTGAACAGATTTTCCAAATCTTTATATCAATTTCAGATGACTCCCCAATTTCAAGAATTCAATCCACAGACAACATGTTTCAGTGGTAACTCAACTTCTGATGAAGCAGATGAGCAACAAATAAATATAATAAATGAGAGGAAGCAAAGAAGAATGATATCTAACCGAGAATCTGCACGAAGATCACGTATGCGCAAACAAAAGCACATGGACGAGCTTTGGTCACAGGTAATCTGGCTTCAGAATGAGAATCGACAACTCATAGACACGCTGAACCATGTCTCGGCGAACCTTGATCGAGTCCTCCAGGAAAATTCTCAACTCAAAGAAGAAGCTTCAGAGCTTCGCCAAATGCTTACTGACATGCGTCTCAATAGTCCCTTTCCTAGCCTGAGAGATCTTGATGACGATCCATTGCCTTAAAAACGAAAATAATTGTCCATCCTGTAGTTCATGATTTCTGAAAATTTCCTTTGTTGAAATTTTAAGGCAGCTGTGATTTTCGTGTTCCATGTCTCTTCTTTTCTTTGGGGCTATCAATAAGAAATATCATTCGTCTTTGCTTTTGGTATCAAATGTTTAAGAGATGGTAATTGTAGACATGAATCCTCCATGAAAATAGATGATGTCTGCATTCACTAAGGTCATTTAACAAAAAAGACTATGATGCAATCAAATAGCATAAACAGGAACCAAAAAACAAAGAAAAGGGAGAATTTCTACCGGAAGTGGAAATTATTGGTTCTTCCAGGCGAACTACAACAGAGAAAGGAGGCACAAAATGTACTAGTACAAGGTTGTGGTGGACAAGTTGGTTCATAGTATAGCTAACAGAAGGGGAAATAAATGATTTCGTGAGTACTAGTTTTAACTTAAAAAAATTGTTCTGCTGACCAGCCCAGCAAAGTCGGTAAACTTCAATTACTCTAAGGCCATGTTTGTAGGGGTGAGCATGGGTTGGATTGGGTCGGTTTTTGCCCCAATCCAACATTATCGATTTGTTTGAAATCCAACCCAACCCATTTATGTGTCGGTCGGGTCGGGTCGGGTCGGATTGGTCGGTTCGGAACGACTTGTCGCACAAATATTAAAATCATC